TCACTGACTGGTCTGAGGCTATCAGAAGGGACTGTGACCTCTCACACCTTCACTGACTGGTCTGAGGCTATCAGAAGGGACTGTGACCTCTCACACCTTCACTGACTGGTCTGAGGCTATCAGAAGGGACTGTGACCTCTCACACCTTCACTGACTGGTCTGAGGCTATCAGAAGGGACTGTGACCTCTCACACCTTCACTGACTGGTCTGAGGCTATCAGAAGGGACTGTGACCTCTCACACCTTCACTGACTGGTCTGAGGCTATCAGAAGGGACTGTGACCTCTCACACCTCACTGACTGGTCTGAGGCTATCAGAAGGGACTGTGACCTCTACTCTAGAGTAGGTCCAGCTGCCTGTCGGTGGTGGGGTACTGGGTGATAGGCGCATCCTCCGCCAGCATGGCAGACTCTTTGTTAAGGAAGGGCACTACCAGAACCCCAGAGGAGACAGCCCACTTTTTTAGGAACAAATGCAAGCAGGTGTGTAGGCGCTTCTATCTCCCTTCATAACAGCTCCACCTGAAGATCAGACTCTGAGGCTGCTGACACCTCTGTAGCATGTAGATCACAGGAAGAATGGTCGGCACTCGGGATGTCCTCCAAATATGATCTTCCTTTATTGAAAGAGCATGGACAATGGCTGTAAAACAGTCCAACGTGTTTCAGTCATGACTGAAGGCCTGATGGTCAAAACGCGTTGAGATATTCTACAGCCACTGTCCATGCTCTCTCAATAAAGGAAGATCATATCTGGAGGACATCCCATTCTTCCTGTGATCTACTTCTGTTTACAAAGCTCTCCAAGGAGAACAAGACCGATAGATGTTCAGGAGGAACAAATATCCTCCCAAGATGTTTCCACTTCCTATACAGGAGGACTATAAACCGTGGGTGTCCTGGAAAGGTTTCGAAAGTCTCAGGAGCTCAAAAGGAACTGAGACTGGGGGGGGGGGGGGGGGGACTGGTACAGGTTGGCAGGCCGATCTCATCTAAATTTAGGTGGTGAACCCCACATTAAAAATACCCAAAAGCTCCTCTAGCTTGGGGGTGATGGCAGAAGACTGTGACTCCTCAGGCACAGGTTAGTTCGGTAAGGACTGACGAGGCGCTGTATCAGAGGCCAAATAGGGGAGCGGGCAGGTCAGAGATAGAACTTGGAACACGTTTGGGTCTGTGTGCTCAGAGTAGACAATTGGCTCATCGTTCTATTTGGCCCATCAAGTCCAAACGTGAAAACAGAGCAGATGAGGCAACCACACCCAAGGCATCCAGGGAGGACTCCAAAGACGGCATGGAAGCATACTTCTGGCTGCACCCATTAGTGGAGTGTGAGCTGGGAGGGGCACCTGGTACCGTGGGACTGCCCCCTATGTCCAGAACCAGGCATGTTGTGACAAGGCAGCTCAGGGTAAGCAGAAAGGCCGCAGTGGTAGGTGAAGGTCAGACAGCTGGAGGTGACCAAGTCCCACTAGGCAGACAGCAGGAATGGGCCGAGGATCAAAGTTCCACATGGCTCCTGAGCACAGGAGCTGCGGAGGGATGGTGCTTCCTCAACACTGACCAGCAGGAAGGGAAAGCGAGAGACCGCATGACTGAAACCAGTGGACAGAGGGAAATTCAAGGCACCCATTGGTGCAATAATGAGGTAGCCCCCAGAACTCCCCGCAATTAGCCTCTCCACAAAGTGAGTCTTCAGACACCGGGCCAGGCAACGCCATGACTCTGAATCCAGAAAGAACTTTACTAGAATTTACTTAGAATGGGGTCAGGAAAGCACCACAAAGCCCAGCAGGCTAGACCGTCCAGCGGGGTCAGGGTACGGCGCCGGCGCTGAGGAAATCCTCATCCAGACAGCAGGAATCTTGAAGGAAAAAAATTTAAAGACAAAAAAAAAAAATGTCCTTCAAGGCCAATAACAAACTGAGGCATGCTGGGAGTAGGAGGGGTTATCTTGGGCGGGCCCACAATTTGTTTGCCAATGTCCAATCGTCCAGTAGGACGCAGTATAACCCGACAGTTCCTGAATCCCTGTGTCCCCCAATGGTGGAGAATAAAATGAGATGTTGTTGGAGATACATCCTGACAACCCGGGCCTGGGGAGAATTATTGATCATTTGGGCCCCAGTCCTGACATCGGTGTTTGCTGAGAGTCACAATCACTGGACAGACGGACATCTTTGTGTCACATGACTGTACAGGTCCAAGCTTGACAGACAAGTGCCGGCCCCTCCCATGTGACTGAAGGTGGGGCCAGGAACGGAGCTAATCGGTATATACAGTGATGGGTGAGACCCAATGACCAGCCCTGCACCTGCACTCGGGGGGTCCAATGACCGGCCCTGCACCTGCACTCGGGGGGTTCCAATGACCGGCCCTGCACTCGGGGGGTTCCAATGACCGGCCCTGCACTCGGGGGGTTCCAATGACCGGCCCTGCACTCGGGGGGTTCCAATGACCGGCCCTGCACTCGGGGGGTTCCAATGACCGGCCCTGCACTCGGGGGGTTCCAATGACCGGCCCTGCACTCGGGGGGTTCCAATGACCGGCCCCGCTCTCGGGGGGGTTCCAATGACCGGCCCCCGCTCTCGGGGGGGTTCCAATGACCGGCCCCGCTCTCGGGGGGGTTCCAATGACCGGCCCCGCTCTCGGGGGGTTCCAATGACCGGCCCCGCTCTCGGGGGATCCAATGACCGGCCCCGCTCTCGGGGGGATCCAATGACCGGCCCCCCGCTCTCGGGGGGATCCAATGACCGGCCCAGCTCTCGGGTTCCAATGACCGGCCCCGCTCTCGGGGGGTTCCAATGACCGGCCCCGCTCTCGGGGGGTTCCAATGACCGTCCCCCCGCTCTCGGGGGGTTCCAATGACCGGCCCCCCGCTCTCGGGGGGTTCCAATGACCGGCCCCGCTCTCTGGGGGGGGGGGTTCCAATGACCGGCCCCCGCTCTCGGGGGGGGGGGGTTCCAATGACCGGCCCCGCTCTCGGGGAGGGGTTCCAATGACCGGCCCCGCTCTCGGGGGGGGGGGTTCCAATGACCGGCCCCGCTCTCGGGGGGGGGGTTCCAATGACCGGCCCCGCTTCTCGGGGGGGGGGGGTTCCAATGACCGGCCCCGCTCTCGGGGGGGGGGTTCCAATGACCGGCCCCGCTCTCGGGGGGGGTTCCAATGACCGGCCCCCGCTCTCGGGGGGTTCCAATGACCGGCCCCGCTCTCGGGGGGGGGTTCCAATGACCGGTAACCACCCCCGCTCTCTCGGGGGGGGGTTCCAATGACCGGCCCCGCTCTCGGGGGGGTTCCAATGACCGGCCCCGCTCTCGGGGGGTTCCAATGACCGGCCCCGCTCTCGGGGGGTTCCAATGACCGGCCCCGCTCTCGGGGGGTTCCAATGACCGGCCCCGCTCTCGGGGGGTTCCAATGACCGGCCCCGCTCTCGGGGGGGTTCCAATGACCGGCCCCGCTCTCGGGGGGTTCCAATGACCGGCCCCGCTCTCGGGGGGTTCCAATGACCGGCCCCGCTCTCGGGGGGTTCCAATGACCGGCCCCGCTCTCGGGGGGTTCCAATGACCGGCCCCGCTCTCGGGGGGTTCCAATGACCGGCCCCGCTCTCGGGATCCCCACATACACTCGATCCCTGCAGTACTCACTCTCCTTGTAGTAGTCGTACACACGGATGAGAGTCATGTGATCGCCTTCCGGAAGTTGCAGGTCGCGGCGGGCACACAGGACGGACTCGCTGTGCGGAGGGGGGCAGGAAACAGCGGGGAGCAACTACGGCAGGAGAGAGGGGACAATGAGCGGGAAAAAGGACAAACTACAGCATGCAAGCCCAGCACTACAGGCTCCACCCACTAGATCTATAACTCCGCCTACTGCGCCAGGATCAACACAGAGAGCAAGACTGGAAATAAGATGCAGAGAAACATCAGCAAAACGTACACTCCGCTATAAACGGACAATACGTGTCATAGCTCCACCCACCTACTACTCAAACCACGTAACTCCACCCACTCACATCAATAACTCCACCTACTATCGTCCTTTTCCTCTTATAGTCCCAACCCCCAATCATCTTTGTTACTCCACCTACATCTATCCTTTACTTTTTAGGACTCCACCCACTCAGATATAACTCCACCTACTACACGTCACTTAACTTTCACTTACAACTCCACCCATTCAATTCTACAGCTCCACCTACCATGCCGGTTATATTTCTCCTTTACTTTAACCCCACCCGCTAATCCATATAACTCCACCCACTCACACTGATAACTCCACCTACTACTCACATATATCCATTCTTATAACCCCACCCACTAATCTATATAACTCCACCCACTCACACTGATAACTCCACCTTCTACTCACATATATCCATTCTTATAACCCCACCCACTAATCTATATAACTCCACCCACTCACACTGAACTCCAACTACTACTCACATACATTCATCTTTTACTTATAACTCCACCCATTAATTTCTACAGCTCCACCTACTAAGCTCTACTGTATAGAATTCCTTCTTTCCCTCTTACAACCCCACCCACTAACGACTTGCCTCTGATCTGTATTTTACCTATGACCCCGCCCACTGGCATCTATAACTCCACCTACTATGCTGTATATATGAACCCTTTCCTTCTCACTGTAAGTCCCCGCCCACTGATCTTTATAACTCCACCTACGACTCACCATTTATCTATGTTACCTATAACTCCACCCACTCATATCTAACTCCACCTACAATGCTCTATATATCAACCCTTTCCGTCTTAAACCCTGCCCACTAATCTCTACCCTCCCCCCTCTAGTTTCTATAACTCCGCCTACTGACCCTTTGCCGCCTTGGTTCCTCCACCATACTATGACATCAGACTTTCCTCTCAGCCGTCACCATTCGGTACAAAGCGTTCTCCTTCAGGCAATCAGCACAGTGGTTGCAGTTTGTAGTGATGGTGGCGCCCTCAGTAGGAAATGTCCTCTGCCAGCGTTCAGTCCTAAATTCCCCCTCCCCCCCCCATAGCACCATACATACCGCTTAGCATGGCGGCCAATGTCAGCATCTCACTGACGCACTGAAACTCGCAGGCCGCGATGAGAGACTTGGAGATCTGAGGATCCAGAGGAAACTCCGACATCACAATTCCAACCTCGGACAGATTCCCATCGTCATCCAGTGCAGCCAGATAATCCAGATCTTCAAGAGCCTGCATGAGGAACTCCGGAGCTGGGGGAGAGACAGAGAACTACAGGATGACTGGGGGAGGAGGGGGTGATAGAGTATGGAGAGGGGGAGGGGGGGTCTAACCAGGCAGTATGCCCCCTCTTACCGGGCCGGTCCAGAAAGTCGCACTGTCCGAGGTCAGCGATGTCTAATCGTTTCAGCAGCAGAACCATGCGACTCAAGTTTTCCTGAAGAATCCGAGGAGGAGAGAACTCCAACATCCGACTCTCAAAGGTGCTCTCAGGATACAGGCGGTAACAGACCCCTGGAGAGGAAAGAGATTACATACAACTACTCCGTGTGAAAATCTGGGAAGTGGCTGGTCGGTTATACTGCCACCTACAGGAGGATCTGGGCACGGACAACCTACTCCCACTCCCAGCATGCTTCAGGTCTTTGGCAAGCCAGTAACAAAGAGAACGATCATAAACACGTTTTGTGGCTCTCAATGGACTCCAGGAACAGGACTGAGGTACAGGACTTAAGAGAAGGTCAGTACATCCAAGAACTGGTCCAACTGAGGGGTGGGCAACAGCAGCAAAACACTAATTGGCCTACAACAAAAGGAGGACCTTACACCCAAACCTGGTGTCAGAAAAGGCCTGGGCAACCACCTGAAGGACCTTACACCTGAAGCTGGTATCAGAGGAGGCCTGGACATCCACCTGAAGCTGGTATCAGAGGAGGCCTGGACATCCACCTGAAGCTGGTATCAGAGGAGGCCTGGACATCCACCTGAAGCTGGTATCAGAGGAGGCCTGGACATCCACCTGAAGCTGGTATCAGAGGAGGCCTGGACATCCACCTGAAGCTGGTATCAGAGGAGGCCTGGACATCCACTGAAGCTGGTATCAGAGGAGGCTGGACATCCACCTGAAGCTGGTATCAGAGGAGGCCTGGACATCCACCTGAAGCTGGTATCAGAGGAGGCCTGGACATCCACCTGAAGCTGGTATCAGAGGAGGCCTGGACATCCACCTGAAGCTGGTATCAGAGGAGGCCTGGACATCCACCTGAAGCTGGTATCAGAGGAGGCCTGGACATCCACCTGAAGCTGGTATCAGAGGAGGCCTTGACATCCACTTGAAGGACCTTACACCCAAAGCTGGTATCAGAGGAGGCATGGACATCCACCTGAAGGACCTTACACCTAAATCTGGTATCAGAGGAGGCCTGGACATCCACCTCAAGGACCGTACACCTAAAGCTGGTATCAAAGGAAGTCTGGAAATTCACCTGGTAGAACGTGGAGAACGTGTGAACAGAAGATGCTGAAAACTTCCCAGAAGCACCCACAGATCCTTAGTGGAGTGCGCCAAATCCAATCCCTAAGCCATAAATGCTTGAATGATGATTTGCCTCTGAAAAGAAAGGTTCACCTTTACGAGGACCATCAGGAATGACAGAGTCAGTCTTAATGGAAGCAGTAGCTGGGACGTAAACTTGCACAGCACAAACTACATCCAGACAACGGAGGAAAAACTTTCAATGAACTGGAGCCAGAGAGAGACGGAAAAAGATGTCCTGGTTGTGTTGAACGGCCAAAACCATCCCAGGTAGAAAGAAAGTCCTGAGCCTTAATACCACCTTGTCTCTGTGCAAGACTGGAAGGGTTTCTTTCCGATAAGGCCACCAGTTCAGACAATCACCTTGTAGAAGTGACGACAATGAGGAACACAACCTTGTAAGTTAGAGTGGAAAAAAAAAAGGGGGAATAGCCCCACTGGGGACAAAAAGGGGAGTTCTGAAGTGCCAAGAGAACCAAATTCAGATCCCATTGAGTCACTGGGAAGCCATATGGGAGACACCCTGCACAAAGGTCCTACACAATGGGGGACTTGGCGTTCTCTGAACAAGATGGCAAGTTCAGGGACCTAACCCTTGTTGATGCCAAGAGCCAAATGCAAATCTAGACATTTCCCGAAAGACCAGGATTTCTCCCCTGGAGAAATCTCCTGGTAATGAAAGTTTCTCTTCTCACACCAACTGAGGTATGCCTTCCATGTGTGATAGTAGACCTTGTGAGAAGAATTCCGAACCTTTTGCATCATGGGAATTACAGATTTAAAGATGCCCGTCTCTCAGAACCAGGGATTCAATATCCATGGTGTTAAAGGAAAAACTGGTCCCTGAGGCAGAAGACTCGTATGATCATGGAGGAGCCAATTAAGCATCTACCAGGAGAATGCAGGTGGAAGAGCCACATCTGCCCAGTCCAATTCACTGATATGAGGATCTCTGGAATACCCTCCATATATCCTGCAGAGCAAACAAGGAAGGAGTCTCAGGTAGGAGTTACACCATTGATCAGAACATGTGCCGACTGTTCCCTCAACATCAGTTTGTCCATATGTTCCACAATCTTGGGGAATGCTGAGCAGCAGAAGATAGGTCCACAAACTGGCAGTCTTGAGAGCCCACAGCAATGTGAAGGAATTGATGTTTCACTGGAAAAATGGGGGATGTGCAAGTCTTCCTGGTGAAAAGAGGCTATGACAGACCTGCTTGGTTCCATCAATAATTTCTGGGTCTGAATGAAAACAAATAGGACCTTAGGACACAAGATGGGGACAGGTTCCAAGGGGGACATGGCCACAGATGTTATTTCTGACCCTGAACACCTAAGGGAGAAAAAGGTGAGAGATTGCGCTGGCTGAAGAGACATGACAGGATAAATTAGAAGGTCTCAAGGAACAAAAAGGGCAAGGAGAACACTGGCTTCCAGGCTACCCTTACCCAACATGGAAAAAGAATCCAAAGTACCTTTGCTGATGGGAACAGAAGGAGGATTTGATCCCCAGAAAGGGAACCCTCTTATTTAAAAAAGACTAGGCTCAGGATGGCCACAAGGTCCTACAGGAGTCTCAATCGGCAACAAAGAGGAGCTCTATGTGGTCTGCACAAAGGTGCAAGGTCTGGAGAGATAAGGAGAAGGTGTGCAATGCCAACCAGGACCTGCAACGTCCCAAATGAAATGGTGTAAGCAGGACCAAGCCGAAGGATTTACAGAATGAGGGACAAGTATAGAATTCAGAATGAAACTTCCTATCAGACCACCAGGTGAAGGAAGTCTATAATTACAGAGCAGGGAGCAATCAACCTGCCTGAATACAAAGAAGGGGGGCATCCAACGCAGGGATGGAAGGTGCCAACATAGGGAATATCGGAGTAGTAGGGAGAGGGTGCCTGGGGTACCATAGTCTGCAGGAAAGTACGCCACGCCAATATGCTCAACCCAAAAAGGCTGTATGATAACATGAAGCTGAGGGCCCCTTTAAATACAGTGAATTTACTGCAGTAGTCCATATTCCCATTTGTGAAAGACACCTGAAAAGTGACCAGATCCTATTCAAAACCCCGGCAAAAATGTGATAAAGCTTTGCCATTGAAAAAACAAGAGCTGAACAACTGATCCATTGTTCCCCTGAGGAAGTCCAATGACGCAACACGTAGGGTGGGGAAACAGTGATGTTAGATTGTCAGCAGAGGAAAGAAAGGAAAGACACGATACACAGTGGTGAGCGATGTTAGGAGCTGGATCAGGTCTGTATGTGATCACAAGGGGGGGTGAGAACAAACGAGGGGGGGGGGGGGGGGGTGAGAACAAACGAGGGGGGGGGGGGGGGGGTGAGAACAAACGATGGGGGGGGGGGGTGAGAACAAACGAGGGGGGGGGGGGGGTGAGACACAAGAGGTGAAGGATGGTTCCAACCAGTGAAGAGGAACACAGGGGTTCCATCCCGGAGAGAGCCATGGATTTGTGGATCATTTTATATATGGAACTCTGGTGGTGGTTACGGTTTGTACTTCTATGCCCTTTATAGGCTTTCATGTGTAATATTGAGGTGTAAAGGGCGATGCGTGGTACAGGGCGATGTGTGTACAGGGCGATGAACTGTGAATGAACTGTGATCTGTAATCAGGAAATGAGGTGACGCCACACTATCAGATCGGTGTTATCATTGCGGGGTGAGTCACAGATTGGCCGGCACACAGGGAGGATCAGGGCAGAGAAGGAGATTTCCTGCTATAACAAGGTTACTCATTACCCCGAACAGAGACAACAAGGTTACACCCGTCCCCCTGCGAGCCAGCCGGTCCCGCGCACCCGTCCCTGCGAGCCAGCCGGTCCCGCGCACCCGTCCCCTGCGAGCCAGCCGGTCCCGCGCACCCCGTCCCCTGCGAGCCAGCCGGTCCCGCGCACCCGTCCCCTGCGAGCCAGCCGGTCCCGCGCATAACCGTCCCCTGCGAGAGCCCGGTCCGCACCCGTCCCCTGCGAGCCAGCCCCTCCCGCGCAACCCGTCCCCTGCGAGCCAGCCGGTCCCGCGCATGTACCGTCCCCTGCGAGCCAGCCGGTCCCGCCGCAACCCGTCCCCTGCGAGCCAGCCGGTCCCGCAACACCGTCCCCTGCTCCGCACGTACCCGTCCCCTGCGAGCCAGCCGGTCCCGTATACCCGTCCCCTGCGCCAGCCGGTCCCGCGCACCCGTCCCCTGCGAGCCAGCCGGTCCCACGCATGATACCCGTCCCCTGCGAGCCAGCCGGTCCCACGCACCCGTCCCCTGCGAGCCAGCCGTCCCACGCATCCCCCCGTCCCCTGCGAGCCAGCCGGTCCCACGCCCGTCCCCTGCGAGCCAGCCGGTCCCACGCACCCGTCCCCTGCGAGCCCCTCCGCACGTCCCGTATACCCGTCCCCTCCGCGAGTCCCGTATACCCGTCCCCCACACATTCCTCCGCACGTCCCGTATACCCGTCCCCTCCGCACGTCCCGTATACCCGTCCCCTCCGCACGTCCATTTGTGTGCATAGCCATGCAGTATATCTCCCAGGGGAAGGGTAAGACAAAAATGTAAGGGGTCCAGGGAAACCCTGTCTGATCTTGTCCATGTTCATACATGGTCCTGTCCAGGGTCCAATCTTCACCCATCATGGTGGGCATATCCTTAAAGGGGTCCTCATGGTCTGGGTGCCATAGGGAAGGCCCACGGCCCCCACGGGGGGGTCTGGGTGCCATAGGGAAGGCCCACGGCCCCCAGGGTCTGGGTGCCATAGGGAAGGCCCACGGCCCCCAGGGTCTGGGTGCCATAGGGAAGGCCCACGGCCCCCAGGGTCTGGGTGCCATAGGGAAGGCCCACGGCCCCCAGGGTCTGGGTGCCATAGGGAAGGCCCACGGCCCCCAGGGTCTGGGTGCCATAGGGAAGGCCCACGGCCCCAGGGTCTGGGTGCCATAGGGAAGGCCCACGGCCCCCAGGGTCTGGGTGCCATAGGGAAGGCCCACGGCCCCCAGGGTCTGGGTGCCATAGGGAAGGCCCAGGCCCCCAGGGTCTGGGTGCCATAGGGAAGGCCCACAGACCTGGACCTATATGCAGCTGGCCCCTAACTACACTCTTGCACTACGTGCCGAGGCAGGGGGAGCGCAGGATCCGGTGCCGGAAGCAGACGTTGCAGGCTGTCCCTGGATCTGGTTCCCTCGGTGTACTCGGGGTCATCAATACAGAAAGTGCCGAGAACCATGAAGGCAATAAGCAGATCCCGATAGCAGTGTCAGTAGGAGGATCTGGTGTAGAAAGTAGTAAATTCTAGAAAGAAAAGACGTCCATGGCCTAAGGACAGTCACAAAAGTAGTGGGCGGGGTTATAGGACACTGGGCCACAGGGCCAGCAAAGCTTCTGCCAGGGTCCAGTCACATCACTGCCATATAACCCATGGCCTCTGAACCCATTCCTGTGTCCGGTCCTGGCTGATAAAGGTACAAGGCTTTGGATGAGACCTCCAATCCCTAATTGATGGGATCCATAAACACAGACAGGTCCCCCATGGGGATGGTCAGGGCTCATGCCACAATGGCAGGTTTTGGTGGTCTTCGGACCACATCCTGAGGAACATGAGCTGGAAGCCAGGGCAGGAAGACTAACCCATGGTTCTAGGATCCAACATGTTGTACCTCAAGGCCAGGCGGGTGCTCGGCTCAGGGTACACGACCAGGGCGGCTCGGCTCAGGGTACACGGCCAGGGCGGCTCGGCTCTCAGGGTACACGGCCAGGGCGGCTCGGCTCAGGGTACACGGCCAGGGCGACGCGGGGCGGCTCGGCTCAGGGTACACGGCCAGGGCGGCTCGGCTCAGGGTACGCGGGCCAGGGCGGCGCGGCTCAGGGTACGCGGCCAGGGCGGCGCGGCTCAGGGTACGCGGCCAGGGCGGCGCGGCTCAGGGTACGCGGCCAGGGCGGCGCGGCTCAGGGTACGCGGCCAGGGCGGCGCGGCTCAGGGTACGCGGCCAGGGCGGCGCGGCTCAGGGTACGCGGCCAGGGCGGCTCGGCTCAGGGTACGCGGCCAGGGCGGCTCGGCTCAGGGTACGCGGCCAGGGCGGCGCGGCTCAGGGTACGCGGCCACCAGAGCCAAACTGAGGATAATCCACACGTCACTTTCCATCAGGGGCAGCAGAGTCATGGTGATTCCTCAACGCCTAATGGCTGCGGGGCTCTCCTACAGATAGAAGAGAGCAGCGGGGCCCCTCGAAACACAAGACCAGGCTGCGGGGCCCTCATATAGAAGACAAGATTCTCTCATTGGGTAGCAGAGAATATCCCTCCTGAAGGCCACATCTGGACCTGATGCCAATCTCCACCACATGATGATGACCCATGGAACACCCCCATACTGGGCCACCCCCCCCCCATACTGGGCCACCCCCCCCCCATACTGGGACAGACCCCATCATTTACTCACCATCGGGTCCCTGTGCTCTCATCCTCCGGATCTCCGCTCTGGATTTACTGATCAGACGTTGGACCTGAGAATCGGCACGAATTCGGGGATTGTACACCTAGAAGACGGCAGAGAAGAGACCGTCACTCCCCCCCACTGTATACAATGTCCCCTCCCCCCACTGTATACAATGTCCCCTCCCCCCACTGTATACAATGTCCCCTCCCCCGCTGTATACAATGTCCCCTCCCCCGCTGTATACAATGTCCCCTCGCCCCCCGCTGTATACAATGTCCCCTCCCCCCACTGTATACAATGTCCCCTCCCCCCACTGTATACAATGTCCCCTCCCCCCACTGTATACAATCCCCCTGATAGATGTATACTGTGTCCCCACCCCCCCAGGTATCTGTATTATGTATACAATGTCCCCTCCCCCGCTGTATACAATGTCCCCTCCCCCCCTGTATACAATAGAGGTGTAGTCCCCTCCCCCCCCTGTATACAATGTCCCCTCCCCCCTGCTGTATACAATGTCCCCTCCCCCCGCTGTATACAATGTCCCCTCCCCCCCTGTATACAATGTCCCCTAAAATCCCCCGCTGTATACAATGTCCCCTCCCCCGCTGTATACAATGTCCCCTCCCCCGCTGTATACAATGTCCCCTCCCCCCGCTGTATACAATGTCCCCTCCCCCGCTGTATACAATGTCCCCTCCCCCGCTGTATACAATGTCCCCTCCCCCCCTGTATACAATTGTCCCCCTCCCCCCCTGTATGTATGACAATGTCCCCTCCCCCCCGCTGTATACAATGTCCCCCTCCCCCCGCTGTATACAATGTCCCCTCCCCCGCTGTATAACAATGTCCCCTCCCCCGCTGTATACAATGTCCCCTCCCCCCACTGTACTACAATGTCCCCCTCCCCCCTGTATACAATGTCCCCTCCCCCGCTGTATACAATGTCCCCTCCCCCGCTGTATACAATGTCCCCTCCCCCCACTGTATACAATGTCCCCTCCCCCGCTGTATACAATGTCCCCTCTCCCCCCCACTGTATACAATGTCCCCCTCCCCCGCTACAAAATACATCTGATAGAGGAGACCTGTGTCCCCGCTCCCCAGGTCTGTCACTCCCCCGCTGTATACAATGTCCCCCTCCCCCCGCTGTATACATCTGATTAGAGGAGACCTGTGTCCCCGCTCCCCAGGTCTGTATTATGTGGGGACGCAATGTCCCCTCCCCCCACTGTATACAATGTCCCCTCCCCCGCTGTATACATGTCCCCTCCCCCCGCTGTATACAATGTCCCCTCCCCCCACTGTATACAATGTCCCCTCCCCCCACTGTATACAATGTCCCCTCCCCCCACTGTATACAATGTCCCCTCCCCCGCTGTATACATCTGATAGAGGAGACCTGTGTCCCCGCTCCCCAGGTCTGTCCCCTCCCCCGCTGTATACAATGTCCCCTCCCCCGCTGTATACATCTGATAGAGGAGACCTGTGTCCCCCCGCTCCCCAGGTCTGTCCCCTCCCCCGCTGTATACAATGTCCCCTCCCCCACTCTATACATCTGATAGAGGAGACCTGTGTCCCCCGCCTCCCCAGGTCTGTCCCCTCCCCCGCTGTATCTGACAGAAGAGAGCTGTAGTGATACTGTCTCAGTGTCACCATATCTCCTCGGGGGAGGGTCCCTTTCATCCCACAATGGGCGGTGTCATGAGGCTCCATACTCACAGATTGCACCTCGCTCCCGGTATCGATGACGAATCGTATGCCGGACAGAGAGAAGGATAGCTCGGCCACGGCGGTGGTGAGGAAGACGTGGCGCTGGTAGTCGGCCTCGGCGTGGGACGCCTCGTACACGCTCTGTATAGAGGTCCCAGCACTGGGGAGAAGAGCCATCGGCAGCAGGGAGCCCAGATTGGGGCTCAGGGACACAGATTCGGTGAGGAGAGCCGCCGAGCACCGTTGTACCTCCTGTGAAGGACAAGCCGACATTCGTCACCCTCTGACATCTGGGTGCCCCCCCCCCCCCCAATCTCCATCATACAACCCACACCCACCTCTTCACTGGCCAAGAACACCAGAACTTCTCCCGTCTCGTTCCTTCGGTGGATGTCCAGTACCATGTGACAAGCCGCCATCACCTGGTCATGTGACGGAGACGCCCGGTACACCACACTTGGCATGTGATCCTGGCCTGGAACCGTCACCACGGACGTACCCGACCCAAGGAATTCCAGCAGACGCGGCTGCAGAGCCGGAGTGGTCATGACCACCAGGCGCAGGGCGGCTCTCTGCTGAATGATGTCCTTCAGGAGGCCCAGAAGGAGGTCGGTGGCCACTGTCCGCTCATCTACCTCGTCCAGAATCACCACATTGGCCGTCTGCATGAGAGGGTTGGAGGTCAGTTCCTGGAGAAGAAGAGAGTCCCAGCAGAACCTGCAGGAGAGGAAAAGTGTAAGGTGGCAGAAACATGGAGGGGAGGAGCCAGACAGACCGCCCGCCCGAACCAACATGGAGGGAGGAGCCGGACTGACCGCCATACCGACACGGAGGGGAGGAGCCGGACAGACCGACCGCCGTACCGACACGGAGGGGAGGAGCCGGACAGACCGACCGCCGTACCGACACGGAGGGAGGAGCCGGACAGACCGACCGCCGTACCGACACGGAGGGAAGAGCCGGACAGACCGCCGTACCGACACGGAGGGGAGGAGCCGGACAGACTGACCGCCATACCAACATGGAGGGGAGGAGCCAGACAGACTGACCGCCATACCGACACGGAGGGGAGGAGCTGGACTAAACCGCCATAACCAACATGGAGGGGAGGAGCCAAACAGACTGACCGACCCCGTACCAACATGGAGGGGAGGAGCCAGACTGACCGCCATACCAACATGGAGGGGAGGAGCCAGACAGACCGCCCGCCGAACCGACATGGAGGGGAGGAGCCAGACAGAGTGACCGCCGTACCGACACAGAGGGGAGGAGCCCGACAGACTGACCGCCGTGCCGACACGGAGGGGAGGAGCCAGACAGACTGCCCGCCGTGCCGACACTGAGGGGAGGAGCCAGACAGACTGACCGCCGTGCCGACACGGAGGGGAGGAGCCAGACAGACTGACCCGCCGTGCCGACACGGAAGGGAGGAGCCAGACAGACTGACCGCCGTACCGACATGGAGGGGAGGAGCCAGACAGAACGCCCGCCGTGCCGACACGGAGGGGAGGAGCCAGACGACCCGCCGTGCCGACACGGAGGGGAGGAGCCAGACCCCGCCGTGCCGACACGGAGGGGAGGAGCCAGACAGACCTCCCGCCGTACCGACATGGAGGGGAGGAGCCAGACAGACCGCCGTACCGACATGGAGGGGAGGAGCCAGACCGACCGCCGTACCGACATGGAGGGGAGGAGCCAGAAAGACCGACCGACCGCCGTACCGACATGGAGGGGAGGAGCCAGAAAGACCGACCGCCGTACCGACATGGAGGGGAGGAGCCAGACCGACCTCCATACCGACATGGAGGGGAGGAGCCAGACCGACCGCCGTACCGACATGGAGGATGGGTGTACATGGCCACATAACTTAACATGGCCAACCAGCCATGGAGGGCAGCATAAAACTGGACTGGGCCTGTAGAGGTATGGATAGGGACCACTGGGTCCCATAGCAGTAGGGTTAGGGTCGGGGACGCTGGGTCACGGCCAGGGCCCGGAGGTCGGGGACGCTGGGTCACGGCGAGGGCCCGGAGGTCGGGGACGCTGGTCATGGCAGGTAGGGTTAGGGTCGGGGACGCGGGTCACGGCGAGGGCCAGAGGTCGGGGACGCTGGGACGGCCAGGGCCCGAGGTCGGGGAGCTGGGTCACGGCGAGGGCCCGGAGGTCGGGGACGCTGGGTCATGGCAGTAGGGTTAGGGTCAGGGGACGCTGGGTCACGACGAGGGCCCGGAGGTCGGGGACGCTGGGTCACGGCCAGGGCCCGAGGTCGGGGACGCATGAGGTCACGGCCAGGGCCCGGAGGTCGGGGACGCTGGGTCATGGCAGTAGGGTTAGGGTCAGGGACGCTGGGTCACGGCGAGGGCCCGGAGGTCGTGGACGCTGGGTCACGGCGAGGGCCCGGAGGTCGGGGACGCTGGGTCACCGGCAGTAGGGTTATGGGTCGGGGACGCTGGGTCACGGCGAGGCCCGGAGGTCGGGGACGCTGGGTCACGGCGAGGGCCCGGAGGTCGGGGACGCTGGGTCACGGCCAGGGCCCGGAGGTCGGGGACGCTGGGTCACGGCCAGGGAGGGTCGGGGACGCTGGGTCACGGCCAGGGCCCGGACGCTAGGGTCACGGCCAGGGCCCGGAGACGCTGGGTCACGGCCAGGGCCCGGAGGTCGGGGGACGCTGGGTCACGGCCAGGGCCCGGAGGTCGGGGACACTGGGTCACGGCCAGGGCCCGGAGGTCGGGGACGCTGGGTCACGGCCAGGGCCCGGAGGTCGGGGACGCTGGGTCACGGCCAGGGCCCGGAGGTCGGGGGACGCTGGGTCACGGCCAGGGCCCGGAGGTCGGGGACGCTGGGTCACGGCCAGGGCCCGGAGGTCGGGGACGCTGGGTCACGGCCAGGGCCCGGAGGTCGGGGACGCTGGGTCACGGCGAGGCTCATTCACCAGCCTTGGGAGCGCAGACTCATACTGCCAGGACTGACACTGAAGAGGGAAGGACTTCTCAGCCTGTGTGTGTCCTATGTAGTGACACTATCCCCCCCCCGCCCCCGCCCCAGCACTACTACCCCCCTCGCCCCAGCACTACCCCCCTCTCCGCACCCGTGTTCTGTATGTCATGGTGTTGAGTAGGGAGCCACCTATTGGGTGTTCTCTGCACCTGCATTTATTATCCCTTCAACAAGAGTGTCTCATGTTTGATAAGAATAAAGACTTCCCATAAACCACTGCAGCCATGTCAGGGTTCAGGAGACCACCGGCGAGGGTCCCCTCCATCCTCTGATACACACGCCTGGAAGTTCTCTCCCGTTGTGTTTGCTGAAGTTACATACATGCTATTCCGTGTGCTATGTAGGGAGCTGTGTGTGAGACGTGTGCTCATTGTATGTGTGTCAGTGCGGGTCCCGGGCCCCGGCTCACCTCAGTATGGTGTTGGGGGTGGAGCAGTCTTCATGAGGGACAGAGAAGCCCACCTCATGGCCCAGGTTCAGGTCCATCTCATCGGCCAATCGGACGGCCAGGCTGAAGGCGGCAGCGGCATGGGGCTGGGAGCAGATGACGGCGCCCTCCGTGTACTGCTGGGAGAGAGCAAACTCCGCACACCACTGAGGAACCTGAGGGGGACAAAGATGGAGAGCGTGACACGCCATGGGGGGCCCTTCAGCAGCTATGGGGCCCCTGTATCTCTAGACAACAGTTCACTGAGAGAGGGGCCCACCAACCACACATACTGAACGGGAAGACAAACCCCCCTAGAGAGCCCCCTGGACTTCTCACTACACCCCACATGTAGAAGGGTGGATATGAGGGGCCCCCCGCATGTAGAAGGGTGGATATGAGGGGCCCCCCTGCATGTAGAAGGGCGGATATGAGGGGCCCCCCGCATGTAGAAGGGCGGATAATGAGGGGGCCCCCCGCATGTAGAAGGGCGGATATGAGGGGGGCCCCCCGCATGTAGAAGGGTGGATATGAGGGGCCCCCCGCATGTAGAAGGGCGGATATGAGGGGGCCCCCCGCATGTAGAAGGGCGGATATGAGGGCCCCCCGCATGTAGAAGGGCGGATATGAGGGGGCCCCCCCGCAATGTAGAAGGGTGGATATGAGGGGCCCCCCCGCATGTAGAAGGGCGGATATGAGGGGGCCCCCCGCATGTAGAAGGGCAGATATGAGGGGGCCCCCCGCATGTAGAAGGGCAGATATGAGGGGGCCCCCCGCATGTAGAAGGGCAGATATGAGGGGGCCCCCCGCATGTAGAAGGGCGGATATGAGGGAGCCCCATGCATGTAGAAAGGCGTATATGAGGGGGCCCCCCGCATGTAGAAGGGTGGATATGAGGGGCCCCACCACATGTAGAAGGGCGATATGAGGGCCCCCCACATGTAGAAGGGTGGATATGAGGGGCCCCCCGCATGTAGAAGGGCGGATATGAGGGCCCCCCACATGTAGAAGGGTGGATATGAGGGGCCCCCCGCATGTAGAAGGGTTGATATGAGGGGCCCCCCGCATGTAGAAGGGCGGATATGAGGGGGCCCCCCGCATGTAGAAGGGCGGATATGAGGGGCCCCCCGCATGTAGAAGGGTGGATATGAGGGGCCCCCCGCATGTAGAAGGGCGGATATGAGGGAGCCCCCCGCATGTAGAAGGGCAGATATGATGGGGGGGGGCCCCCCGCATGTAGAAGGGCGGATATGAGGGGGCCCCCCGCATGTAGAAGGGCAGATGATGGGGGGGCCCCCCGCATGTAGAAGGGTGGATATGAGGGGCCCCCCGCATGTAGAAGGGCGGATATGAGGGGGCCCCCCCGCATGTAGAAGGGTGGATATGAGGGGCCCCCCCGCATGTAGAAGGGGGATATGAGGGGGCCCCCCACATGTAGAAGGGTGGATATGAGGGGGCCCCCCCGCATGTAGAAGGCGGATATGAGGGGGCCCCCCGCATGTAGAAGGCAGATATGATGGGGCCCCCCGCATGTAGAAGGGTGGATATGAGGGGGCCCCCCCCCGCATGTAGAAGGGTGGATATGAGCTGGGGGGCCCCCCGCATGTAGAAGGCGGATATGAGGAGCCCCCCGCATGTAGAAGGGCGGATATGAGGGGCCCCCCGCATGTAGAAGGGTGGATATGAGGGCCCCCCCACATGTAGAAGGGTGGATATGAGGAGCCCCCCGCATGTAGAAGGGTGGATATGAGGAGCCCCCCACATGTAGAAGGGCGGATATGAGGAGCCCCCCGCATGTAGAAGGGCGGATATGAGAGCCCCCCGCATGTAGAAGGGCGGATATGAGAGCCCCCCACATGTAGAAGGGTGGATATGAGGGCCCCCCCACATGTTGAAGAGGTGATAGGATGAGCCCCCCACATGTTGAAGAGGTGATAGGATGAGCCCCCCCACATGAAGAATGGTGGCTATGAGACCACTCCCCCAGCTATGACACTCACCTGTGTGCTCCGCCCTGATCCCGCCTCCCCACTGATGAGGACGATGTTGTGGCTCTGCAGACTCCCCATGAATTGGTATTTGGCCCCCCAAACCGGCAGAGCGCGGCGCCCGGCCAGGAAGTGGTAATACCGCGAGGAGAAGGGGAGACCATCGAAGGGGTTCTGCTCCAGATCTCCAGACTCCTTCCCGTCATCTTCATCCTCCTCCAGGATCACAACGTCCTCCTCATCCTCTCCACCATCCCGCTCCAAGGAGGGGCCCTTCACCGACTCCATCCTGACTGCAAGAGAACAGAGTCACTGGGGCCCCAACATGGGGGACAGACAGGGCTACTACTGAGGGGGAGGAGAGGGGCCCCAACATGAGGGACAGACAGGACTTGGGGGGAGGAGAGGGCCCCAACATGGGGGACACAGGACTGACGGGGGGGAGAGGGGCCCCAACATGGGGGACAGACAGGACTGAGGGGGAGGAGAGGGGCCCCAACATGGGGGACAGACAGGACTGAGGGGGGAGGAGAGGGGCCCCAACATGGGGGACAGACAGGACTGAGGGGGAGGAGAGGGGCCCCAACATGGGGGGACAGACACATCTGCAGCTTCTCCCCATCAACCAACCAGATCTCACATTATAGGCTAAGCAATGACAACCTTGTTCTGATTGGCTGCTCTGCACACATTTGGCTGCATAGAGTACTGTCCCCTCCCCCCTCTGCCCCCCTTGACTCCCCCAACATAAACACATCTTACTGGGTGTCACTTCTGGGTGGCAGAGAGATCCTTCATGTCTTCCGCCCTCACTGACACCAACTTCCGCCTCCTCCGTCGGATACTTCCGCCCTCACTTAGATTCTCTTCCGACTCTTCAATAAAAACAATTCCGCCCTCACTACCATCCACGAGTTTCCGCCTCAAATGGACACTTCCGAATAAACGCATTCCGCCCTCACCGAAATCATTTTCCTTTACTTATAATATTTCCTTCAGTCACCACAACGTCCATACACTGGAGGGAAATGTGACGTCATACGGCCGCCATTTTCCCGGAGACTCATCCCCCCCTCCCCCCCACTGCCCCTGTCCTCCCCCCCTCACCACCCCACTGCTCCTGTCACCCCCTTCATCCCCCCCTCACCACCCCACTGTCCCTGTCCCCCCCCCTCACCACCCCACTGCCCCTGTCCCCCCCCCCCTCACCACCCCCACTGCCCCTGTCCCCCCTCACCACCCCACTGCCCCCCCCTCACCACCCCACTGCCCCTGTCCCCCCCCCTCACCACCCCACTGCCCCTGTCCCCCCCCCCCTCACCACCCCACTGTCCCTGCCTGCCCCCCCCCCCCTCACCACCCCACTGTCCCTGCCCCCCCCCCCTCACCACCACCCCACTGCCCCTACCACCCCACTGCCCCTGTCTCATCATCCCCCCCTCACCACCCCACTGCCCCTGTCCCCCCCCTCACCACACCCCACTGCCCTGCCCTCCCCCCTCACCACCCCCCACTGCCCCTGTCTTCCCCCCCCTCACCACCCCACTGCCCTGCCCCCCCCCCCCTCACCACCACCCCACTGCCCCATGCCCCCCCCCTCACCACCCCCACTGCCCTGTCTTCATCCCCCCCTCACCACCCCACTGTGCCCCTCCCCCCCCCCTCCCCCACCAACCACTGCCCCTGTCCCCCCCCTCACCACCCCCACTGCCCCTGCCTCCCCCCACCACCCCACTGCCCCTTGTCCCCCCCCCCCCCTCACCACCCCACTGCCCCCCCTCCCCACCCCACTGCCCCTGTCCCCCCCCTGCCCCTCCCACCCCACTGCCCCACTACCCCCCCCCCTCCCCCCCTGCCACCACCCCACTGCCCCTGTCCAACCCCCCCCCCCCCTGGCCCCACCCTCACCAGCCCACTGCCCCTTCCCCCCCCTCACCATCCCCCACTGCCCTATCCCCCCCCCCTCACCACCCCACTGCCCCCCTATCACCCCACTCCACTGTCCCTATCCCCCCCCCCCTCACCACCCCCACTGCCCCCTGTCCCCCCCCTCACCACCCCACTGCCCCTGTCCCCCCTCACCACCCCACTGCCCCCCCCTCACCACCCCACTGCCCCTGTCCCCCCCCCCCCCACCACCCCACTGCCCCTGTCCCCCCCCCCACTGCCCCTGTCTTCATCCCCCCCTCACCACCCCACTGTCCCCTGTCCCCCCCACCACCCACTGCCCCTGTCATCCCCCCCCCCACCACCCCACTGCCCATGTCCCCCCCCCCCTCACCACCCCACTGCCCCTGTCTTCATCCCCCCCTCACCACCCCACTGTCCCTATCCCTCCCCCCTCACCACCCCACTGTGCCATTACCCCCCCCCCCACCACACCCAACTGTCCCCCTGCCCCCCCCACCCTCACCACCCCCCCCACTGACCCCTGTCCTGCCCCCCCTCACCCACCCCACTGCCCCTCATCCCCCCCTCACCACCCCACTGCCCTGTCCCCATCCCCCCCTTGTCACCCACTGCCCCTGTCCATCCCCCACCACCCCCACCCAACACTGCCCCTGTCCTTCATCCCCCCTCACCACCACCACTGCCCTGTCTTCCCCCCCCTCACCACCACACCCACTGCCCCTGTATCCCCCCCCTCACCACCCCCATGCCCCTGTCCTCCCCCCTCACCACCCCACTGTGCCTGCCCCCCCCCCTCACCACCCCACTGTGCCCCCCCCCCGGGGTCACCCCCCCACTGCCCCTGTCTATCCCCCCCTCACCACCCCCACTGCCCAATGTCCCCCCCCCCTCACCACCCCACTGACCTTCACCCACCCTATCCCCCCTCACCACCCCAAGATGAAGCCGTGCCCCCCCCCCCCTCACCACCCCCACATGTCCCCCCTGTCAACCCCCCCACCCTCACCACCCCATGCCCCTGTCATCCCCCCCACCACCCCCACTGCCCCTGTCATCCCCCCCTCACCCCACCACCACCCACACCCGTGTCATCATCCCCGGGGTCACCACCAAGATACACGTGTCATCCCCGGGGTCCCCACCACCAGATGCCCCTGTGTCATCCCGGGGTCACCACCAAGATGAACTGCCCCTTCATCCCCGGGGGTCACCACCCAAGACTGAAGCGTCTTCATCCCCCCCTCACCACCAAGATGCCCCTGTATTCATCCCCCCCCCTCACCACCCCACTGCCCCTGTCTTCCCCGGGGTCACCACCAAGATGACCCACTGTCCCCCCATCCCCCTCGGGGCCCCCCACACCCCAAGAAGCCCCTGTCATCCCCCCCCCTCACCACCCAAGATGAAGCGTGTCATCCCCCCCTCACCACCCCACTGCCCCGTGTCATCCCCCCCCAAGATGAAGCGTGTCATCCCGGGGTCACCACCAAGCCCCTGTCCCCCCTCCACCCCCAACGACCCGTGTCATCCCGGGGTCACCACCAAGGATGAAGCGTGTCAATCCCGGGGTCACCACCAAGAAGAAGCGTGTTCATCCCCAACACACCACCACCAAGATGAAGAGTGTCATCATCCGGGGTCATCCACCCAAGATGAAGCGTGTCATCCTCACCCCCCAGAAGAGTGTCCTCCCACCAAGAAGAAGCGTGTCACTCATCCCGGGGTCACCACCAAGAGTGAAGCGTGTCATCCCCGGGGTCACCACCAAGGATGAAGCGTGTCCATCCCCGGGGTCACCACCCAAGTGAAGAAGCGTGTGTCCCGGGGTCATCCCAAGATGATTGGGTCATCCACCGCCCAAGAATGAAGCGTGTCATCAGCTCCCCGGGTCACCACCAAGATGAAGACACCACCGTGTCATCCCGGGGTCACCACCAAGATGAAGCGTGTCATCCCCGGGGTCACCACCAAGATGAAGCGTGTCCGTGTCATCCCAGGGGTCACCACCAAGAATGAAGCGTGTCATCCCCGGGGTCACCACCAGATGAAGCGTGTCATCCCCCGGGGTCCACCACCAAGAAGAAGCGTGTCATCCCCCGGGGTCACCACCGATGAAGATGTGTCATCCCCGGGTCACCACCAAGATGAAGCGTGTCATCCCCGGGGTCACCACCAAGAATGAAGCGTGTCATCCCTGGGGTCACCACCAAGATGAAGCGTGTCATCTTCCCGGATTGTCATCCCCGGGGTCACCACCAAGAAGAAGCGTGTCATCCCCGGGGTCACCACCAAGATGAAGCGTGTCATCCCTCTCCCCCGGGGTCACCACCAAGATGAAGCGTGTCACTCATCCCCGGGGGTCACCACCAAGATGAAGCGTGTCATCCCCGGGGTCACCACCCAAGAAGAAGCGTGTCATCCCCGGGGTCACCACCAAGATGAAGCGTGTCATCCCCGGGGTCACCACCAAGAAGAAGCGTGTCATCCCCGGGGTCACCACCAAGAAGAAGCGTGTCACTCATCCCCGGGGTCACCACCAAGATGAAGCGTGTCATCCCCGGGGTCACCACCAAGATGAAGAAGCGTGTCATCCCCGGGGTCACCACCAAGATGAAGCGTGTCATCCCCGGGGTCACCACCAAGATGAAGCGTGTCATCATCCCGGGGTCACCACCAAGAAGAAGCGTGTCATCCCCGGGGTCACCGCCAAGAAGAAGCGTGTCATCCCCGGGGTCACCGCCAAGATGAAGCGTGTCACTCCCCGGGGTCACCACCACCAAGATGAAGCGTGTCACTCATCCCCGGGGTCACCACCAAGTTTGAAGCGTGTCATCCCCGGGGTCACCACCAAGAAGAAGCGTGTCATCCCCGGGTCACCACCAAGAAGAAGCGTGTCATCCCCGGGGTCACCACCAAGAAGAAGCGTGTCATCCCCGGGGTCACCACCAAGATGAAGCGTGTCACTCCCCCGGGGTCACCACCAAGATGAAGCGTGTCACTCATCCCCGGGTCACCACCAAGATGAAGCGTGTCATCCCCGGGGTCACCGCCAAGAAGAAGCGTGTCATCCCCGGGGTCACCGCCAAGATGAAGCGTGTCACTCATCCCCGGGGTCACCACCAAGATGAAGTGTGTCACTCATCCCCGGGGTCACCACCAAGTTGAAGCGTGTCACTCATCCCCGGAGTCACCACCAAGATGAAGCGTGTCACTCATCCCATGTAACGTGTGATCAGGAGAATTCACAGATCAGACACCAACAGGAAAACCAAACATTGAGATCTCCAGAACCCAGCAAACCGAAACGCTAACAACACGAGGAGGCCGAGAGCTTCACCGCATGTCTGACGTCTCCAGAGCCACAGCTCCTTATATAC